AGTATGATCCGGGTTTAATTCCACTCAAAGTTTAATTAAATAATCGGGTTTAATTCATTCGAAAATAATTAAACCCGAAGTAAGAAAAAATAATAAAAACAACACTTTTGAGTTTTATTATAATATTCTATTTTTTTGGTTTGGATTTGTGTAAAATAATTGGGTTTTCACCTAAACTAATCGGAATATTTGTTTTTGGATAAAAAAGCATTATTTTTGTTTTTGGAACTGTTTTTTGGTACTATAATATTATAAATTACTTATTATAAAATAATGAATAAATAAACACGAACAATATAAACGCTATTTTTTATTCGTTGTTATTTATTTAAACACAACATTTTCCATCTTAACAAAAATAAAATATTTGCCGCGAGTGTTTTTTGAAGGAAGTCCACCTTTAAGTCACTGTTTGTGCGTCCCCATGTCACCCACTTTCCCTGTCCGTACTGTTTAAATACTGGTGTGGTTCCCTTTTCAAATGGGGCGTTCATTGGGGTTAGCTGTAGGGAGGAATTGACAGTGGATGGAAAGGGTGCACAAACAGACCGCCTGTGCCTTCTTGTCAATAATAATGAATCAAATAATTATTAAAATATTAAAACTATGAAACTACCGAAAGTTAATTCTATTATCAATTATTTATGTTTTAAAAATCATTTAAAATTTTAAAAAATTTTCTTGAAAAAAGTGGAATTAAACTTGATAATTCCAAAATATTTTAAGTGAGTTAAACCCGGATTACACTGTATTTAATTTAAAAAAAACAACTTTGATATAATTTAACATAACATATTAAATTAATTTAAATTAATAATAAAACAATATATAAATACAGTAGGGGGAGTGAGGGGCTTGACCTATACTTTTAATGGTTTATTTACTATATTTATATAAAAACTATTTTTAATGTTCTATTTAAAAACACAACATCGACTTATAAGTTATAGTTTATAAACCATAAAAGTATTGGTTCAAATTTAGCATAAAGTCGAAATATGAAATTGTATTAAAAACGACTTGGGTGTTTGTCAGTTGTTAGTTCTCAATAAAGTCATGGGTAGGCGTTAGTCTTTATGTTTGATATGGCTCTCGTTGTTGGCAACTCTTGGATAGTCCAAGGCAAACTTTCCTCTTCGGATTTGACCAAATATGTTGGTCTAGGCGGAAGAACAAACAATTCCAAGTGTTCTCTGGTATAAACACCATTGGCTTCCAGTAACAATCTGGAAGCCTCTTTTATAGAAACGAACATTCTTTTAATCTTGCCAATATTGACTCCAACAACACCAGAACGCTTATATGATGTAATAATGATGTTTTTGTTGCTTTGCTCTCTAATGCTCCCAACACCTTTTTGGTATGACGAGTAATGGAAACACAAATATGCTCTCTCAGCTCTCCTTGTTCTCTTAGAACTTGTCATGATCTGCCATCACTATCACTATGTTCTCTCATCCCAAAAATCGATTCAAGTCTTCGGATA